TATGTCGTTTTTTTTTCGATGTAGTCGAAGACAATCAATGGCTGTTTTGCCGCCAATTTGGCGTTTTGATCGGCCCATTCATTTCCAGTAATACCGGCGTGTCCAGGGATCCACATAATTTTTATGTTTGTTTCCCCAATTAGTATGTTTCTAAGTTGCGCAATGAGATAGGATTTGTTTAGATCCATTTAGGAGAACTGAGATTGTAGACTTGCTATCAGTACATATTAATGTTYTTAAGTTAGAATTTTGTACTAGGGATAGCGCATTATAGATGGCTGCTGCTTCTGCGGTGTATACTGAGCTGTAAATGGGCAGGAGTCCAGCTTTCAACGTCGGCCTTCGAAGCGTCAGTAAAAATGAGTTGTCTTTGAACAAACTTTATACCCTCGAATTTGTGTTTTTTTTTATGATGGGGCAAAAGAAATAGACTTTTCCTCAGGTATAGTATTGTAATGCGAACCACGAGATACGTTTTGATATGATTTTTTCTAATAGTTTACCCATGCAACAAACTAGTGATATTAGCCTGTAACCAAGAACATCTGCAGAGACTACATTGGATTTAGAAATAGCTACAATCACTGCATTTTCCAGCTTTGAGGGTATACACCTTGGCATAAAATATTGTTGTACTATTTAATAATTCTATTTTTGAGACTTAAAGGACATTTAGCATGGGAAATGAAATCCTGTCTGCACCGGGAGTCTTGCCTGACATTGAAGATAAAGTGAAATCGAATTCTGCGATGGTTATGTTTGATTCGGTAATAGATGGGGGTGAGAGATCTTTACTGTATCTTCTTCTGAGAAGTTTTTATTTGATACAAACGAGGGGTGGAAGTTTGAATCTCTCGAATAATCGGACCATACAGAGGCGAAATGATTAGCTATTTCTCTTGAGTCGAAAATTGTTCCACTTGGGGTGTTTATACAATTAAGATTCACGTGCGTATAGGAGCCTGAGAGCATTTTTATGTCGGCCCATAATTTCTTCTGATTTGTTAACGGAGTTATAGCTTCGATAAGTTTTTGTAAGCAAGTCCTCTTAGCTTCTTTAATATTTCTCTGAAACACTGCATTGGCATTTTTTGTATTTTATTAGATTATCAATAGAGAGAGCTCTTTTGTAAATTAACCATAGTGATTGTTTTTCTTCTCTAAGTTTAGATAACTCCGCAGACCAATAAGGCACATGATTTTTGAAGATAGGTGGGATCCCCGTTTGGGGGATATATAGGTGAGCAGAAGTTTTGATTATTTTGGTAATCGTTGCTGTTTCTTTATTTATATTATCGTCTATGGGACTTGCAGCAGAAAAGTTTTCGCAGAGTTGTTGAAATTTGGGCAAATTTGCCTTGTCCAACAGAAATTTTGGCTTCGCCGACCCTTTTCTGGATAAAGGGGTTGATAAGTGGGTTATAATGGGGAAATGATCGCTGTTATAAAGATCAGTTAGTGTTTGGCTGTTAAGTTTGGGGGCGATATCAGAAGAACAAATGACGAGATCTACATTCGTGAACGAACTATGTGTAGAAAAATGCGTAGGAGAAACGTCGTTTAAAATTGTCAAGTTTTCTTCTAATAAAAGGTCTTCTATGATTTTACCTCTTTGGTTAGTACATGTGGAACCCCAAAGAGGGCTCCAGGCATTGAAATCGCCAAGTATAAGTACGGGTGTTTGGATAGGACCCGTAGTTCTTTGGTATTTTGGTAATTTTTGGTGTGGTGTAATGTAAATTGTTAGGATGGTTAATTTAAATCMAATAAATATTTCTATTGCTATTGTAGAAATATTAAAACTTGTTRGAAGAAGTTTGTGTGTGAAKTCTTTTTTTATTATAATAGCAACACCTTGTTTGTTAGTATGATTTTGTGTTAAGTTGGAGAAAAAGGCAGCGTATTGTTTGGGTACAGCAGCTGCGGAATTAAATGAAAGGTGTGTTTCTTGTAGTGATGTAACACTGGGGGATTGTTTTTTTATGAGTAATTCTAGGTCAGTGTAATTTTTGTAGAATCCGTTCATATTCCATTGGAGAAATTTGAGCATTTATTAATAATGTGAGTGATTGAGAAAAAGGAGAAGAGATGTGGTAATTATATGAGGAGAGATATATTCTGAATAAGTAGGTGGAGGGAGAATATTGATATTGTCTGTAGAGAGAGAGGGAGTTTGGATGTTAAGAGAATCTGTTATGGATATTTTAGGAATGAGTGGTATGCTTATTTTGGTTGGGTTTATTTTTGTTTGGGTAAGCGTTAGGTTAGGAAGGTTTTTTGCAGTTTCTTTTGTAGTTTCATTTGGTGAGTTTAGATGGTTATCAATTACGAAATTGTTTTTGTTTGCTATCATGGTTTGCTTTTGTTGTGGAAGAGGATAAGCTGTTGGGGATTTTAGAACAGTGTCTGAGAAGAGTGGTAGGGGAGGATGATGATGGGTGGGAAATCACGTTTGTTATTTGTTTGTTTATAACAGAAGCGAAAGAAGTGTTTGCGGGGGTAATTGTTGTTTGTATAGCATTAGTCCTTCTCGCATTGAGCATTTGTTTTCTGGTTTTATTTTTAGAATATTTTTGGATTGTGGGTATTTAGGACAAGAGCGTAAAGAGGAAGGATGAGCGCCTGAGCAATTTGCACAAAATGTGCGCTTGCGCGGCGAGGGGTGATGAGGAGGGAAATTGCACATATCGCAGGCAGGGTTGTTGTTACAACGTTTCGTTGTGTGTTATAGAAGCTGGCAACTTTTACACCTCATGGGTTTCGGGAAATATGCTCTAATCCGCGTTGTGCGCCACGAGACTTCGATTTTTTCAGGAAGTCTGTAGAGGTCAAATGAAAGGAGTATCACACCACTAGGTCTTTGTTTACCTTCTATATTTTTAATAAATTTATACACAGAAGTAACTCCCTGATCTTTTAAATTGTCAACAATTTCATCTTCTGCAATGTCATTTAGAAATGGGGAGTAAATTGTACCTTTAGAGCAGTTCAAATTGTCGTGTAACTTAACCTTAATATCGCAAATTCCATTTAATTTCTTTGTTGTAAGAAATTTTTCAGCGATCTTCCGATTTTTAACAAGTAAGAGTAGATTACCATCACTTAATTCGGTGATAGATAAAATTTCCTTACATATGGATTCTAAGGTTTTATGCACAGCGAAGCAAGAGTATTTAGAAAGTGTTTTGTTTGAATCTGCTGCAGAGATTAGAACAAACTTTGGGCAATCTTTTTTAATTTGAGGCAGTTCTAGAAAATTTTCAATTGGTTTGTATGTAAGTTTTTTCCTTTTGGGGTTGGAGCTAGCGGCGAGCAGAGCAAACCTATCTTCCCCAAGGATTGGCGGCCCTGGGGCCATAATAATAAATTAATTATTCACTAATATGCACAGTTTCTTACGCGAGTAACCGTACAATCAAAGTAAAACGAAAACACGTGCACTAGTATGCAAAAAGGAATATACGAATAAAGCGTAAAGCGCAAAAGAAAAACCGCGATTAGAAAACACGTCCGCTCAATGAGAGATATAGTCGAAGACTGAATTAAATATATATTAATTGAAAAATGTGTGAAAAGTGGGTTGTACATAGTGAGATAACGATTATTGTTTTTGCAAATTTTTGAACTTTAATATCGTACCATTATGGGTGAGCAACTAAGAATGATTAGGTCTTCGACATAAGTTTTCTCTCAGAAAGCAATTTTTTAACAGTGTGCGTCTTATTTTTCGATATTTCTTAATTAATAAAAGTAAAATTTTAACATTTAAATCGAAAACTTCAATCAAATAAATGAATTTCACCGTAATTTTTAAATACAGAAAAAATTTAAGAGAAGTTTAATTTTTCAAACACTTTTTTCACGCACTACTAAGATTTTGACTGACCGATGCTTTGCATACAAAAAGTTCAGCATATGTAACAAAAACAACTAGCCAAGCGAAACAAGTTATTGCATGTTTTTTTTCTCAGCATCTGAAGCTAACTGATTTTGAAGTGCATCCTAATAAAACAGTATGATCATATACATTAAATGAATGCTTAGAACTTCTAAGAATTTGAACGCAACTGTATATACTATACATATGACTCTATGTCTATCTCGATTAGTTTTACTTAATAAAAAGAGCCGTGAGATGAACAAAAATACGTTTTAAGAATAAAAATACTCGTATGGGCTTTACAAGCAGCAGAAATGAAAGGTGCAGTAAGAAATTAAAAATTTTACAAAAGCGTTAAAATTAAAACAAGAATATTATTCTATAATATATAATAAAATATATTTTCGTTTCAATAAATTACTTCATATTATTTACAGAAATGAAAAGTTCTACACATGCTGCGATGAGCCATACTTGGATATCACTTTTAACATAACCATGAGGAGAAAAACATTGTTTTACACCGTTAACATAATTATCCCATGTATGGGAATTTCATTTCTAACGGTCTTGACTTTCTACCTACCTTCGGACAGCGGCGAAAAGGTAAACATTTTTGAACAATATACATACATATACGTATCATACATTGTGTTAGCATATGTACATACTATAAATACAGTTCATACGTTATTTTTAAGAAATATTAATATTGTGCAATTACTCTTATCAGAAATTCCATGTAATTCATTTSTTGTTAGAAACTTTTCAGCGATTTTCGATTTTTAAAAAGTAAAAGCATATTATCGTCATGTAATTCAGTGATACATATGTATGTATATAAAATTTCTTTGCTTAGGGTTTCTAAGCTTTTATCCAAAGCGAAGCAAGAATAGTGTTTYGGCCGAACCTTTAGAACAAACTTAGAATAATGTCTTTTAATTCGGGGTAGTTTCGTATGTAAGGTTTTTATCTATTGGGATTGGGGCAAAGCATTCCTATTTTACTCGARGTTAAAGAAACCGGTGGCCATGGTAAACAAAATATCCACTCATTTACACTGGGGCCGAATCATTACGGCCGTGCACGGATCGGCAAATTTACGAAAAAAAATTCTGTGATACGTCAATCGTATACGTCGATTGTCATTATGACATACTATATGATAGCGAACGGATCGAAATTTGTTTTCAATTCACATTAGTTTATAAATTCGACATTGCTTTGGACCGTATTTTTAGGTCACGAAATCTGAGGAACTGTCAAAATTGTTACAAATTTTTGCTTAATAAATAAATTAACGAAAGCTATATAAATATCAAAATGATCTGACTTTGCTTTTTTTATTTGAGTGATGGTATGAAAAACTTGTGCGGAGATAGCTAAGAGATCGTAGCAATCTTTTATCGCTTTCGATTAAAAGCATATGTATAAAAAAAAACAAATTATGAAACGTCATTAAAAAAATTTTCTTTGTATGTAGATGTATGGTTGAACGAAGCATTGGAATTTTAAAAAGACGGTGGAGTATTTTAGGATATGGCAAGAGAGGAAAATATCATCCCACAAAAGTGGGAAATTTTGCTAACGTTTGTGCGGCATTACAAAATGCACAAATTTAAAATATGTTAAGACCCTAAAATTTGCAATTCTGATCATACACAAGAAATAGACACCGTGGTAGCGAACCACCTCATTGCAATCGGCCAAACGATAAGAGACCAAATAAAGTATACTTTAGTAAATTTAATTAGAAAATGTACGTACATATATGTCTTTAACCTTGTAAATAATTTTTTTATGAGGAATTCCATTCATTGGTTTCTTGTTTTTGTTCTTTATTACTAAATATTATAAATAGAGTATAAAATGTAAAGAAATTTACTCACATTTTCATAAATTTGTCTGTAACGTTGCAGTTTTCATTCGAAGCAACGAATACGTTTACATACTCGATCACGTAAGTATGTAAGTAAGCAATACAATCACGTATGCCATTATCCGAAATGTAGCTATTTACGTGAGGAAAAAAACGTTCCCGGATGTAACGATCCGACCACAGGTATGTACATTAGCACGCGATTAACCATAAGGTTAAACCCAATCAAAAGCATTTGCCCTTTTATGTAAAATGAATCATAAAAGCAATTCTCAAGGTGCAAAAGAAAACCAGCGCAATTCGAAAACTAAAATGCCAAAGATATCACGACGAAACAAGACATTTAACTAACGTATATACAAAGAAAAAATCCGGTGGTGGATACTATATTCAAAGAAAAGAATGAAACTGAAGTTCATACCGACGCGTCTCCTGACGGACATTTTGATACAGAGTATAATAGTTTTTTCACCTAATTGTTGTATAGTATGTATCAACATATATCAATTAAATTTGATATGTAAAACTCTATTAGTACTGTATATGTAAAACTCTATTAGTACTGCTATGAATACCCACGCCTACTGTACATATAACACAATATGAAATTTGATTGTCACCAAATATTTAGGGCCCCATCGTTTAAATTTCAGAAATTGGTTGAATCGGGTCAATCCCCTATAGATGGAACTTCAGCTTCTGTTTGTCAGAAATTGGTTGAATCGGGTCGATCCTCGATAGATGGAAATTCAGCTTCTGGATAAACCTTATTGTTGGGAATGCACGAATGCTTTCTAACATCTCCTCATTATGGTGCAGAGATCTGCTTTATATTTGCACAATTTCCCCATCCAAACCATCACCAATCTTAGATAATATTAAAGCTTTTGYGATATTAATGGGAAAATCAATATTAACCATGCAATATTTAGATTTAAGTCTAGAAGATAATTTCTTACAAGATGTGTACAATGTCTCATTGTTCACGGCGATGTTCGCACCTGAACAATTATTTGATTTTCCTTCGCAAAGGCTGTTTTGGTGAAAGCTTCGAAATAAACTAAATCATCTATAGTTCATTCCCCTTCTAATACTTTGGACATGCTGAAGAAGGGTTATATACATAGGTCTGTAACCAAACACACCTGTAGAGCCATTATGGAATTTAGGAATAGCTACGGCCACTGCATTTTTCCACCTTTTGAGGTGGACACCTTGACGTAACATATTGTTATACCATACAATTTAGTAATTCTATTTTTGAGACTTAAAGGTCAGTTTTTTAGCAGGGCATATGCAATTCTGCTTGTCTCACGATGATGATATTGCGAAACCAAATTCAGCGATCGTTATGTCTGATTCGGTAATATATAGAGGTGAGTTGTCTTTACTGTAGCTTCTTCTGAGAAGACCATTTTTATTTGATTCAAATGAGCTGTGAAAATTTTAGTCAATCGAGTAATTGGAATATAGAAAGGCGAAATTTAATTATGACTTTTGTGTTGACAATTGGTTCATTCAAGTTATTTATATATTTAAGATTAACTTGCATATAATAGCCGATATATATTATATATGTATATGTCAGTCCACAGTTTCTTGTGATTTGTTAACAGAATGGTTGTTTCGATTTTGTTTTTGTATACAAGCCATCTTATATTCTTTAATATTTTTTCGAAACACTGTAAAATTTGAACAAAACGCGCGAATGCACGTGAGGTGGGACGAGCTATGAAATTACATGCGCTAAAGACTGGGTTGTCATTGTAACGTTCAGTTATGCACTTCATGGAGTTAGGGAAATATAATCGAATCCACGTAGAAGCAGACTACCGTCACCTAATTAAGTGATAAACAAAATTTCGTGACGTATTTGTTCTAGCTTTTATGCACAGCGAAAGAAAATTTAAAGCTTTGTAAGTCAGTTTTCTTCTTTTGAGATTAGGAGCTGGAGGCAAGCTATTTTCTCCGAGCTTGGGAAATCTTAGCCCCATAATAAATAAAATTTACACAAATTTGTTCTAGACTTTGCACACAAGCTTTGTAGGTAACCTAATGATCAAACCAAATCAAAAGCATGCGTAATTTTTTGCACGATGAATTAAGAAAACAAAGTGTAAACGCAAAAGGATAACAGTGGTTAAGTTAAATCGTTATATTGGTACAGTTAAAAAAAAATAATAATTTACCTTCGAGATGGTATTAGATGATTTTATGAGAGCCAGTATGAAAATTGGACAATATGCGTGTMATTTCTTGACCAAATCCCATATCTGTCGAGAGCTCTCCATCAACTACAGTTTCAGACTTCCTGACTATTGCAGAGTATTAGGCCGAGATTGCAGCCATTAAGGTAGCAGTAGATTTGCAGCTTTGCAGAGAAGTGAGCATACATTCAAATGGCAGAACGGCAATACTACCATTGAACTCATTTACAGTGCTTGTGGAAAGGTGCCTAACTTCGCTATAAATAGCATCGACTGCAATTGTGATAAGATTGCTAATGGGTGCCAGGTCACAGCGGATTCGGACGAAACTGTAAAGCTGATGAGCTGAGGAAAGACACCCTAGAGCCGTTATCGGTAGAATGGGAACGCATCGGTTCTCCGTTATTCTCGTGGACTCTACTATTAAATAACTGGGCTTCGCGGAAGCTTGGTCAGCGCTGGGACACAATCAGTACATGCGCTGCCGCAAAAGACTTTTGTATAAGATCGATGACAAAAGGTCAGGTGATTTCTTTGCCATCAGTATGCTTAGCCTCTCACTAATAGTGGACCATTTAACGGGTCGTTGCCCTATTGGCGTCCACAAAGTAAAGCTGAGAATGCTTCCGGACGCTGCGTGCCGAAGCTGTATAGGAGAAGATGAGATAGAAACAACTCAACAATTCCCTGTTGACTGTCCGTTTTTGCGGTCAAGACTTGTGCGCTTGGGTGCGCATTCTTTACGAGATCATACCGAGTTGTTGGAAGTGGAAATTAAACGCATGTGCAAGTCCTGCGGGTCCTGAAAATTTATAGTTCTTTCTATGGCATCACAAAGGGCTACATCCAGCAACCACATGCGATCTTTTTGATCAGCTCTCTAACCTAACCGAACTATTATCTCCGGACCCGATCAACCGATTTCGACTAAATTTAGTACGTATCATTTCTCAAACATTCCTATATTGCAGTTTGAAAATAAGCAGAAATTGTCCAAACCCAACCAAAACTGTTCAAGACCCTAGGTACCGAATATCTGGACTCCAGAACCTATAGTTGAGTTTAGAACTAAAATATCGCTCAATATGTGCGATATTCAAAAAAATTTTTATATAGAGTATATATACCTTAGAACTGCCACGAGTAATAAACTTATATTCATAATCGAGTATTGATCCGTTACTCTGTCTGATTCTGCCAGTTCGATTTATGTATATTTAGTACACGAATCGAACCGTTTGACTGTATATCAGCGATAGAGAACAACTTTGAAACACTAACGATCAGCTTATACATGATTTGTTTATGCACGTTCGAAAATGCCCGTAAATGATTCATACTCATATTTCAATTTATTGAAATGTTCGACAGCGTTCGGTTTGTATTATATATCATCCCGCATACATTGATTTACTCATGCATTTCTCTTCTATTTCAAATGCAAATGTATGTACTCGATAGAATTTCCATTTTTTTACGGATAAAAAGTTTGTAACATGCGCAAATGTTTAAAGCTGATC